AGTTGATTTACCGTCCATCAGCTTTAAAGACATCTTTTCATCTATATATAGGCTGCTTACACAGACCCACTTAGAAACAGATGATATTATTAAATTTGTGGAATTCAATAATGGTGAATGTATCAAGATTCATGCTTGTACACAAATGGGTATTTTTGTTTAGTTTATATTGACTTGGGGAAAGGGGAAGAAAACTATATGTTGATGTACATGAAATAGATTTCATTGAATTCTTACATTTTTTAATCTCCTTGGTCTGGTGCTATCTGTGAAAATATTAATTTAAACTAGTGTTAGGTAATTCTTGGTGAAGGTGGATATACATTAAATGTATGGTCCCTAAAATATACTCCTGATTTGGGTACCTCTTGTAGTGAATACAGTTTATATGGCTCTTAATATTATTTACTGAAAGTGAGTTACTAAATGATTTCTTCTAAAATGAATAATCCCTAAGATATGGAAACATAAAAGCATGTTTATTTAGAGTGTTTAGAATTTAGAATTAGGTGGGGTGTTGTCCTGCAAAGCAAAAGGTCATAGGTTCGATTCCCAGTCAGGACAAATGCCTGGGTTGCCTGTTCAGTCCTGGTTGGGGCACATAGGGGAGTCAGTTGATCAATGATTTCTCTCTTACTTTCTCTCCCTTGCTTTCTGCCTCTCTTCCCTTCTCTCTAGAAATAAATTAAATCTTTAAAAGTAAATAAACTTCTTTTACTGAAGTTGATCACCCAAACTCCTTCGACCCTGGACCATCTGTTTTCCCCAGCCCCTTGGTCTCTCTCACCAGAGGATGTGCCTGTTGTCTCAGCACAGGTTTTCAGAATGCCCTGGAGAAGGAGAGAATTAGGAGCCCAGGGTCTAGAATCAGAATGCTTGGGTTCGAATCTTATTACACCACTTATTGGTGGGATAACTGTAGGTTAGTTAATTTTTCTGGGCCTCATTTTCCTTACCTAAAGACAGGATTAATAATACTTATCTCTTTCCATGGGAGGGGGTGGGTATGAAGATTAAATGAGTTAAAACATGGAAGTACCTAGAACAGCGCATATAGAACTTCTGTCCAAGATGAAGTGGTAGGTAGGTATGCTTTGCTTTCTCACACAACCTAAAGGACAGAAACAAATTTAAACACAAAAAACAACCAGAACTGACAGAAAATCGAACTGTATGGAAGTCCAGCAACCAAGGAGTTAAAGAAACATTCATCCAGACTGGTAGGAGGGGTGGAGGCAGGCAGCTGGGGCGGAGAGGATGCACAGCAAGGCGGGCAGGTGCGAGGCAGTGGCTGGCGGATCGGGCAGTCCTACATTCGCATGCAGATAAACTGGAAGGAACAACTAGGGAATGAGACAGACCATGCAACCCAGGTTTCCATCGTGGAGAAATAAAGCTTCAAAACCTCTGGCTGAAAAATAACCTGTGGGGGTTGAAGTGGTGGGAGAAACTCGCAGCCTCTCATAGGAGAGTTCGTTGGAGAGACCCATGGGGTCCTAGAGCGTACACAAACCCACCCACCTGGGAATCAGCACCAGAAGGGCTCAGTTCGTTTGTGGGAAGTGGGGGAAGTGACTGAAAGTGGGGGTGAGAGCTGAGCAAGCGGCACTGTTCCCTCTGTGACCCCTCTACCACATACTGTGCCACAACTCAGCTAAGTGGGTTTGCTCCACCCTGGTGAATACCTAAGGCTCTGCCTCTTACAATGCAACAAGTGTTCCAAGACAAGAAATATGGTCCAAATGAAAGAACAGGTCAAAACTCCAGAAAAAGAACTAAGCGATAAGATAGCCAACCTATCAGATGCACAGTTCAGAACACTGGTAATCAGGATGCTTGTAGAAATGATTGAATATAGAGGAAATGTAAAGTGAAATAGTGAAGTAAAGTGCATAGTGAAATAAAGAAAAATATACAGGGAACCAACAGTGAAGGGAAGGAAATCAGGACTCCAATCAACAATTTGGAGCAGAAGGAAGAAAAAAAACATTCAAATGGAACAGAATGAAGAAACAAGAATTCAAAAAAAATGAGGAGAGGCTGAGGAACCTCTAGGACAACTTTAAATATTCCAACATCTGAATCATAGGGGTGCCAGAAGAAGAGGAAACGCAAGAAATTAAAACTTATTTGAAAAAATAATGAACGAAAACTTCCCCAATCTGAGGAAGTCCAGGAAGCTCAGAGAGTCTCAAAGAAATTGGATCCAAGGAGTAACACCCCAAGACACATCATAATTAAATTACCCAAGATTAAAGATAGAGAATCTTAAAATCAGCAAGAGAAGGAGAGAGTTACCTACAAAGGCGTTCCTGTAAGACTTATCAGCTGATTTCTCAAAAGAAACCTTACAGGCAAGAAGGGGCTGGAAAGAAGTATTCAAAGTCATGAAAGGCAAGGACCTACATCCAAGATCACTCTGTCCAGCCAAACTATCATTTAAAATGGAAGGGCAGATAAGTGCTTCCCAGATAAGGTCAAGAAAAAGGAGTTATCATCAAGCCCTTGTTATATGAAATGTTAAATGGGTTTATCTAAGAAAAAGAAGATCAGAAATATGAACAGTAAAATGACAACAAACCCACAACTATCAACAACTGAACCTAAAAAACAAAAACAAAAATGAACTAAGCAAACATCTAGAACAGGAATAGAAACACAGAAATGGAGATCATATGGAGGGTTATCAGCAAAGTGGGGTAGGAGGGAGAATGGGGGAAAGGTACAGGGAATAAGAAGCATAAATGGTAGATACAAAGCAGACAGGGGAAGGTTAAGAATAGCATAGGAAATAGAGAAGCCAAAGAACTTAATATATACAACCCATGGACATGAACTAAGGGAAGAGGGGGATGCAGGTGGGAGATGGGGTGCAGGGCAGAAGGGGAAAAAGGGGAGAAAAAATGGGACCATTGTAGTAGCATAATCAATAAAATTTAAAAAACAAAACAAAACAACAGTGCATATGTCCTATAAATGTTAGTTACTAGTGTGACTATTGCTATTTACATGTATTTTAATCTGCAGGTTTTGTTGCTTACAGTGTTATTTTGTTTAAAAAAACAGAAAAAGAAAAAGAATATAGTATAACTTCCTGGTTAAATTTCTTAGACTATGTGTATCATCAGTTTGAGATCTAGTTCAATTCAGGAAACAATTATTAGATGCCTGCTGTGTATAAGTGCTGTGGTGGTGGTGGTGGGGCACACATTAATAAGATATACAGAGTCCAGTGTAAAAAATGCCCCTGTTTTATGAGCTGATAATCTATGCCAAATCTTTTATTACAAAATCATAAGCATATAATTCTGTAACAAAAACAGTATCACACTGAAGCACATCATATGACATTCTGGGTGAAATTTTCAGATCACTGTCCATCTTATGCTAGACATTCGTGTACCCGCCCAACCCATACTCGATGGCGTTACTTCTGCCCCACCCTGAATTTCCTGCTCTCCTAGAGTTTTTAAACTGGCAGGAGAGAGGAAGTATATTCAGAGGTTAAGTGTTACACAGGAAAAAACATTGCTATACTTTTTATGTCAGATAAAAAGTAGTTCACAAAAGACCTAGACTAATTCTGAATGCTTAAGAGTCAGAAAGGTTAGATGCAGAGGGTAGGCGTTTCCAGGGGGAGTGAATAAGAGTTGGGAAAGTACATGGTACTTGAACAAGAGTGAATTGGACAACCTTGGGGCGGTTTAGAATGGAAGACTTGCAGCACAAGTAAGGACACAAGCCAGTGAACTCTCATTGCCACATGGGAAAATGAGCAAAAAACTTGACAAAATAGGACGATTGAGGAGGTGCAGGAGATGAAATTGGCTCAAATATTTTAGTAGTAGACCTGGGGAGGACAGTGATGCCGTAAAAGAGAAAATGAGTGTGAAGTGGGTTAGGTTTTGGGGAGAAAGACAGGTCCTACCTTGGGCCTGCTGGATTTGAGATATGGTCAGAAGCCTAGTTACGATTCTGCCATTCTTGGAGGCTTTCCTGAAAATCGCTCTGTGGATAGAAAAGGCAGATATTAGGGTGATATGATTCCTAATGGATGGCAGGTTCCTCTCAGATGTGACTTGCAGGGACCTTGTAATTGAAGACTTATTATGTAAGGGGACTGTCCTTGGCCCATGGGACCCTTCCAACCCTCCTTTTTTGAACATTTTCTCACCTAGCCTTTGGATGTAGGCCACGGCATCATCATTGTGCATGGTGTGTAGTGACAGTGCCCTTTAAGTTTTATTGGCATTTGAAATAAAGATCTTGACTAATAAGTTGTTTCATTAAGGGGTGCTGCCAGAGAGGAAACACGAGAAACACCTGTCAGCCTTCTCTAGCCCATGTGCTGTGAATCATGTAGGTTTTTTTTGGTTTTTTTTTCCACCTCTACAGAGGAAGGCTCTAAGTGAAGAGGAAGAAAAGAATTGTATTAATGGTAAAATATTTTCTTGTCCAGAGAAATGCATTCCTTGGTAAAAATAGGTATGATTTTTAGATACAGATGAAAAGATTTTACCAATACTTCCTGATCTATGTAAATAGTTATATCATTCACTATATTTATGGTGGTAAACATTTGCTACCAGGAAGAAAGTGTGAACTATCTAGGAAGCTCTTTCTGCTGGGTCGTGGCCCTAACAGTTTCTTTGAGTTAAGCATTTGTGTGTGAGGTTTTTTTTTTGAGTTGTTTTTGGCCTTAAGAGGAGGACAGTGTTGTAGGAGGTTTTGAGCAAGAGGCAAGAGTTTGGTACTTTGTGGATTGTTATCACCCTGCAAGACCCTTCGCAACTTCCTCTTGCCGCCCACAGCAGAATACGGAAACCCTGCTGTATCAGGCCACTTCTGCAATTACAGTCACAATTCAAGGGGATCCTTCTTTTACACTACACCCTTCTGTTTTGAGACTTTGTTTGCATTTGAAAATGAGTCTTTCATGGTGGAATGCCCAACCGAGCCTTCATCTCTCCCCTCTCTCCTCTCTCTTTGCTGCCTTGCAGTGCTGCAGTTGAAGCTCCAGCAGCGGCGGACACGAGAAGAACTGGTGAGCCAAGGGATCATGCCGCGTAAGTACCATTCTCTTTCAGCATTTGATTGAGTTGCTTTTAGGACAAAATCGTGTGTACCCAGTATGCCCCGGAAGGCATCCAACAGAATACAAGGGCAACAGGTTTCATCTTTCGCTCTGCTTGCTTTTTTTTTTTTTTTCCAAGTTCAGGGGCTCTCAGTCACTAACAGTGAGGATAACTGCCCTAATTGATTGAGTTCAGTGAAACAAACAGCATTACATTTAACAGTACAATTATTGGCTTTTGAATCGCACCTTTAAAGGGGTTTCTACACCCTGTTGCACTTCCCTTTATAGGAGGAGTAGATCTTGATCTGGAGTATTGTGAGGAAGAACCCACTTCATGCCTATGATTTGCCGTAGTATTGAGGTTCTTTTAGAGAGAGAAAACAACCTTTTTCCACCTGGTATTTTGAATCAACCACAGTTTTATTTCGAGTGAGATCCTCAGGGTACCCTAAGGCTGGCATGACTATGAGTGTGCCTGTAATGGAGACTTAGATGGGGTTGCAGATCTGGGCACAGTGGGTACAGAACTGCATCCCTCAGGGAGAAATTAAACCAACCTTGGAATCTGCTAGAGGAATAGGAAATTTGCTTCTAATACCAATAGCATTACAAACTGAGTGGAAGCAGGAGCCAGCAAGATTTTGCTCTTTTTGACATTTTTTTTTAAGTCATCAACAGTAAGCTTAGGTGCTCCTTCTTTTATTGCTACTTCACTACTTGAATATACCCTAATAAAGTTTTTAAAAATGTCATACAACAGCTCATAGCTTCATAGGGGGAAGCTGATGTTTTTCACATTAACACAGTGTCTGCTAACCTACTACCACTGTGTTTTACTAATTCTCATTCATTCATTCATTCATCCAAAATATTTGAATACCTACTATATGCCTGCCGATATAGCAAGATAAATCTATCTTCTGCTCTCAGGAGTTTTATGTTACTGATAGTAAACAAGGAGACAGATTAATAAACAAGGTAATTTCAGAGTATGGTAAGTGCTACGAAGTAAATCAGCTGGTTGGTATGTTAGTAAGTAACAGGAATGAGATGGGGTAACTTTGTAGAAGATGGTCAAGAAAGGCCTCCCTGAACAGGAAATATTTGAGCGGTGATCTGAAGGATGAGATGGACTTAGCCATTCAGAAATAGATAGAGGTCCCGGGGAGAAGGAAAAGCAAGTATAAGGCCCTAGTACAGGAAAGAGCCTGGCATGTTGAAAACCTCAAGGAAGCCATTGTGGCTGGGGCCTAGTAAGTAAGAGGAGAGCAGGGCCAGTTAGGATTCGTAAGGTGGGCGGGGCCAGAACGAGGGCTGTACCAACCACGCAGAGGAGGCGGATTTTGTTTTAAGTACTATGGGAAGCCATTGGAGGCTTTTAAGCAAGTGAAGATGTGATTTGATTTCTGTCACTGTGATGGCAGGTCCATTTCTGAGAGCCAGAATCGTATGGCAAGTATAAGGAGTCTGAGCTCCATTTCTATTCCTAAGCATCGGTCTCAGATTCGTCTTTTTGTTCTCTACAATTACCCATGAGGTCATTCCCCGGCATGATGCTTCTTTTCTGGCCCCCCGGGGAAGGCTTCCCCACCCCCACCCCTTAAAGTGTAAGACAGAACAGATGGCGTGTGTGTGCAGTGGGTCAGTAATGTGATGAGGTGGGGCAGTGTTGTGCTTTACAGAACACTCCAGATGTGCCCATCTACAAACCTCTGTAGAAGAACAAGTTATCAAGAGTCTCCTCTGCTTGTCCCTTTCACCAGGGACATCACATGTTTAGCAGGTACTTTGTGCCCAGGATAGTCCTAGACGCTATAGAGATTAAAGATGTATGTCATGGTGCCTGCCCTCAAGACATTTAACAGTTTATTTGGGTAGCTAAACTTTACTCACACACAAAATAAAGAGCAATTCAGTGCTGATCAGTGCAGTGTTTACTGTAATTACAGTGCTAGTTCTGAGAGCCTACTGCTACCTCTCAGAATCTGAATGTGTTTAGGATCTAAAAGCCATGCAGCAGTGCCCTGCACCCTTCCTCCTGTCTTTCATTTGATATCAGGGGCTTCTGGAGATCACTCTTTAATACGATTTATGGAATGCAGCCTCCTAGCTTAAGGGCTCCATGTTGTTAAGACAAGTCATGCTTCAGTTTTTGGTGTTGTCTGCTTATGGGTTTGTCTCTCCAACTAGATTGTGAGCTCCTTAAGAAAGTGTCTTATTTATATTTCTGTCCCCAGTGTCTGGCACTGAACGAATGAATGAAGACAGCCAGTTTCAAAGTGTGTGGGGTGTACGCATGACAGACAGAAACAGATCACCCCTCTGTTGCACACTTGTTGGATTTCTGGGCATGAAATTTGAAATGACGCTCCTGTTCTGTCAGGAGCCTGGGTTCAAAAATGTTCTGAATATCTAATTGTGTAATTTGAATTGTTCTCTGTATCTGTGAAGTGAGAACAATGGCCCTTCCTATTGGAATGGAAAAGACCTGCTTCTGTAAGAATACTGCATACCCCCTCATAAGCAAGAGCCACCTCCAGCTATGAACGGTCTTGGCTTTCGGCTTTTCTAGTGAAGGAAGTGAGTAGCAAACTCTTAGACTAGGAGAGAGAATGTTGAGGCCTGGGCTTAGCTTCCAGTATGAAATCCCCTGCTCACCCACATACCTGGTTATACACAGATAGGGTCCCCAAAGATGTGGCTCACACAGTGCCAGCCCCCCGTGCTGTGAGTGGCCTGCTTCCTCACCACAGCTCTGCGCCCACTCTCCTGGTTCCTGGTGTGATCTCGGCCATCTTCCACCAACATCTCCGCGTCTTTCAGAGAAAGTATGAGCAGTGTTGGGGGCAGATCATAAATGAGCAGCAGGTTGTTGCTGGTTATTGGAGATTTGGAGACCTGAAGAAGTAACATCTGGTTTGAAGTGCCTGCTTCCATTTCCCATCTTGCTGGCCTGAAGAGTTTCTGAAAAGTACCTTCATTTTTACGTTTGTTTGCTGTCCAACTTAGGACGTAGGTGGGGCCCACAAGCTGGGAGAACAGAGTAGTGTAGCATGGCTGTATTCTGCTTTGTCACTTACGTGTTTATATCTTTTATCAAATTCTTCTCATCTCAATCTTTTTTTCTAGCTCTGGGAAGAAAAACCCACCCATATCGTTTCCCAGATTACTCATGCACAGTTCCCATGGAGGGCTGGCTTTCACTTCTGACATCGTATCTGTGGGACACTGTCTCCAGTGGCTCTCTTGCCTTCAGGGTTGGTCATGTTTCTGCATGTCCTTCCGAGTTGGGCTATGGCCTTTCCATAAAGTCCAGGTGACTAAAGGGTCTCTCAGTTCCTACACACTTCTCTCTGCTGCTTGATAGGCTCTGTTCACGACGGCACCTAAACTGTGAGGTATAGAAGTTGGTTTCTGATGTATTTTTAAACAGGATCATTTCCCAGAATCCTTCATTCTCATCATGTAAACACATGTCTCCTTTAACACCACTGAAACCCTACCAAACGCAGTGTGCCAGATAGCAGAGGATTACATATTCCAGGCCTTAAGCTTTCTTTAATGATGTCTGAAGCTCTGCATGTCTTGAGGGAGAGTGGAAATGGCAGACAGGAAGCTGGTGTTTAACTCCCAAGATAAAGATCAGGAATGCTTCTGTATTCAGAGAGAAGACTCATAGAAGAGATGGGTCTTGTGTGGTACACTTTGGTCTCAAACAAAGCGTCCCCCACAGCCTTTCTCTTTGACATTTAAAGGTACACAGGATCATAAGGTTAAGGTGAAAACTAAGAAAAATGTTCTGGCAATGAAAGCTGCTGCAGAGGAATAACCTTTTAAAGGAAAGCATGGAAGTTCTGACCCAGACAAACGAGAAAAAAGTCTCCTGTACTCTTACTGGATATGAGAGAAGAAACTCGTTTGTCTCTTCCTCCTCTACTTTTTGTCATTCTGTTGTGGATTCCTGAGAAAATTCTCGGAGTGGCATGTTTCCTATGCTATAGTTAATCCTCAGTTTATTATCTGCCAAGTGCTCGTAATAGAAAAATCTTGGTACCTTGGCAAGCACATGAAGAAATTATTTTTTTCTGTCTTACAGATCTCTAAGGACCTTGCTGTATTTCTTGAGTGAGCTTGTTTTTTCATCTTAAGTGGTGCTTCTGTGCACCCAGCCAGTGTCATTGGTGGCATTTACCTTTGAATGGTTGGCAGAACCATAGAGTGTGAGGGCGACACAGCTCCGAGAGGGCAGCCAGTCCGTGTCAGTCCACAGGCCTCACAGACTGCCTTGCCCTAAAAGGCACTCAGACACGTTGTTAAGTGAAAAAGTGAACAAATTGGCCACTTGTTTAACTGGTTCATGGGTCCGTAAGTGGGCCCTGTGTTTCTCACTTTGAAACTGAAGAGAGTGGCTTCGTGTCATGAGTTCCTGTAGTTCTGTATTTTTAATAAACTTCATTACATCTCGACTCCCTAACACTTCAGTTCTACAGTTTGATCCCTTTGTCACGATTAGCCGTCAGTGTTAGCTAAGTGGTCTGCACAGAGACAGGGCGGCCCAGCTGTAGCACTTGTAGCTAACCTGAGCTGTGACTCTACTGGGCCCCAATGTGAGCCGAAAGCCTCCTCCTCATCAGACTGTAGCAGTCTCTACACCAAGAAAAAAATAATTCTGAACTTTGCAAAAGGTTATTTAATGGCTGGAAGTGTTAGGTTTGATTACTATGATCCCTTTTCCTATGAATCTAAAATTCTTCTTGATATTTTTGTTATTTGTAACTTGGGGGACTTATTATTTATATTATTCTTCACCAAATAGAAAACTGAGTTTCAAGATTCTCCCTCCTGAGTACATATGGATCAAATGCATTTTCGTAAAGGTCTTTTAAAACTAGTTTGTTTTTATAACCCCTAAGTAGTTTCAGAGTTTCTTGAAATGAGACAGCAACTGGGATGCCACGGGATCTACATTCCCCAAGTTACTATGGATTC